TCTGTCCTTCTGCCCACTAGACAACACAGACAGACAGGTAGAAAGACGATAACATGTATGGGTGTAACTGTGACACCTGGATCTGATAACAATATAAAGCCCTTTTTAAATTTTTCTTCAGACCATGCAGCAATTCTGAAAACCTCCACACACATATAATACAACTCACTTAAACTCATATATGGACAAGATTTTGCACTGTAAAAAAAAACTAGTTGTTTCAACTAACAAAAGTTAGTGTCCGGGCTGCCTTAAAATTTGAAGTTAGCTGAACTGAATGATTCAAAACAAATAAACTTTTCTAGTCAAATAAACTTAACCTTTAGTTTACATAAGTTAATCAAAATTCAGTTCCAATGGAATTCTTTAGTTGAGTCAACACAATCTTAATTTCTTTCAACTGGAATTCCTAAACTGAAAATAATTAATCTACAGTTCAGTCTACCTACAATATCTAGTTTACCTAACTTTATGTTATGTCAACTTCATTATACATTTATATTTGAGTCAACTTTCATAATTTAGTTCTGCTTAAGATTAAATTTATACTACATATTTGGTAATTCTCTTTCAACTTTATTTTAGATTATGCTTAAAGATCTTATCTCTATAGGTTATTGGTTGTTCCAAAGAAACCAAATCAATTCCAGTTCTTCAAAGCTTTAATAAACCAGATTGGCAAGTTAAACACATCAACACATCCCATCAAGTACAAAAAGTTTTGTCCCCAAAAACAGCACAAGCTTATGGGTAAAACATCTCCTCTTTAGAATGTGCACAAATGAGTACTCTCTACTCATTACTTTTGTTACTGTCTTTCATAACATGAAACAAATATAAAATAAAATGATGCACACCCAAACAGGTCAAAAAGACTTTCCAGGAAAGACCTCAAACCCTTATGGCTTATTAGGTTATGACTAATGACAACTTAGAACATCGTGGAAAAGGTCTTAAATTCTTGCAACTGAGAATGTCAGTGACCATTACAATAGTGGAACAGAACTTAAAAGAAAACTCTCAGTCTCAGTGTAGTGTCTACACAGTTATACGAAGAAGTCTATTCCTCAGTCCATTAGTATTGCAGAGCAGTGCTCGCCGCCAATGTTCATGAGAACCTTCTAAATGACTTCGAAGGTATATTGCAGCTCCTTCGGGTAGTCAATGTTCAGTGCATAAAGCAGAACCAACATAGCTACCGCATGCGAGTTGTCTTTGATGCCATGCAGAATGATCTGTTCCTCCAGGACCACCGATCCTCTCCTTCTTTTACTAGGACAATGCCGACATTCATTCCCCTCGTCATGCTGTCCTCCATGTCTGTGGGCTTCACAAAGAAAGGAAAAAATATTTTAGTATTGAGTATTTTTTAGCATTCTTTAGTATTTGTCAAACTGTCTATGAGAAACAAGAACATGTTTCGGCATTATGGCATGCCAAAATTAAATATATATGGAATGAATGTTTGAATATATTGAATGAAACCTGAATATATGGAATGAAAACTGACATCATGAAGGCACTGGCACCATCTTTCGTATGGGCCTATCAGCTTCTACCTGAAGTGTTATTTCCACCAACATCTCTCCTTCAAGAATGATGCATAATGTTCTTTCAGCAATGTTTTGTTGAACATGATTACTCATAAGAGGGTGTCCTGGCTGGGGGCTTCACCGCCTGGTGCGGCGGCTGTGCTGTCCTCGGGCGCGGAGCTGTGGAGAGTGATCGGGTCGGTGCGGCGGGTCGCCGGGACTGGGCTGCCGGCCGTCTGGGACCTGTACAGCCAGCGCTGCGGGGGGAGGGCGCGGCGCGTCCTCTCTGGCTCCAGCTATCCCAGCCGCAGTCTGTTCACGCTCCTGCCGTCAGGCAGGTGGTTCAGGAGCATCCGAACCAGGACCAGCAGGTTCAGAGACAGCTTCTACCCGCACACCATCAGACTACCGACCTGCTGAGAGACCCTACGCGCACACACACTCGCCACTTTAAGACTCTACTGTTTAAATAGAAATAAAATAACATAACAATGAAGAGAATAGATTAAAGTGCAAATGTTAAAAGATAAAAAAACAAAGAACAGAAAGTAAACAGTAGAGTCTTAAACTGGCGAGTGTGTGTGTGTGTGTGTGTGTGTGTGTGTGTGTGTCTGCGTAGGGTCTCTCAGAGATGTTGGTGGAAATAACACTTAAGGTAGAAGCTGATAGGCCTACATAAACATGGCGCCAGTGCCTTGATGATCAGTTTTCATTCAATATATTAAAACATTCATTCAGTATATTAGTTATATATATAAGTTAATTTCCTTAACGACATGCCATAATATGGTAACCAAAATTGATAGGCTGAATAAAATGGGGCCAGTTTTCCACATGCATTGGCATTAAAACATTTACAGCTAGCAACAGAGTTTCATCAATTCATTCAGTAACAATAACTAAGCTTACCTCTGCTGTCCTGAGGAACTTTGAAGGATCTTCACGGAGGAAATACGGCAGGCCCCTCAGAATGACAGCCCTTTGTGTTTGGTTGGAATTCTGTTAAAAGACAGAATACACTATTAAAGCCACTAGCCACTCAAGTAGATGTGAGGATACCTCCCTTTAATAACAATCTATGGATCAATTAAGTTCATTTCATTTAACAAGCAACAGTTTCTTCACTCTCTCAAAATGGTGCTCTGAATGAAAGTATGAATGAGTTACAGTGAGACAATGAGGGAGAGCTAAATTGTGCAAGGAACAGTAAGAGTGTGTGAAAGAGAGAGAAAATGGCGGGCAGCAGAAACGTTTTGTTTGGAGACGTTAGTTGAACGTGCCTACGTCAGCCAATGACAGAAGCGATTATCCGTACATCCTTTTGACTGACTTTCTTAGTTTGAAAACTTTTCACTAGTTGAGAAAACATAAACACAGCATTCTGAGTTATCCCAACAGTTTCAATAATTTGTAGTCATACTGACAATGAATTAGAAGTTATCATGACTAATGGGCACAACTAATTTTTACAGTGTGGTTCAAGTCAGGCTTATCTGTTATGCTAATCCTGTGATACAGACTGTAATTTATGCTGGACCAATAATAAAAAATAAGATCCTCATAGCCCACTGATAACCTTACGCTGCATTTTCAAACCTAGCCAATTAGAGTCTGTAACTCATCAAATCTTTGATTAATCAACAGCCATAAATCAGAACTTTGCCTGTAGATAATTAGTGGTAATCTGATACTCCCACTGTGTCGTGATTCCGTCTCTCCCTCCACTGACGTCGCCGTCACAGGTAATTGATGAAATTAATTGATCGAATGAATCAACGATGGACGGAGAACATTCATCAGTCTCCCAGCGTTAATCTGCCTTGTCCTCCTTGGATGCGTTGATGTCTGTGTTTTTAGAGGACGCCTGTGTCTGCTGTGATCATTGGGCGGCATTGGGCCCACAGCGTCGGACCCGAGGAGGTGATTATGCACACCATAGATTTTCCATATTACTAAATGTCTAAATTAAACACAGATGACCTTACTTTGCTATTGGAAATCATTGGCTCTCCATAATTTCTCTGACAGACTTTATTTTGCCTTTGAGGACAGCGTTCCCTGAAGTATTTGTGTTCACAGATTCATAAAAAGAATGACGTAACTGAAGCCCATGCAAGGCTTTGTTCTTTTTTTGTCCTGTAACAACACTTGATCAAAGCAGGAGGCTTAAAAGGTGGTATGTAAAGATATTAGTCTTGTCATTTCATGAGTATGTATAAGTGTTTTTTTTCAGTTTTTATAGTGACTTTTAAGGTCTGTATCTGTTATTTTACCTAATCTACCAGTTTGTTTGATGATTAAAGGAAAAGACCAGAATCAAAAATGTGTCAGTCCCTCTCACAGTAAATTTAGATTGAAGACATCAGAAATGTATTTTATTTTTAGAAAATGTTCAGTTATTAAAAATCAAAACGGCACAATACTCAAACAGGAAAAAATAACACATTTGTTGGGGACTATTTTCAGCAGTGGATGAATCCACATTTGGCTCTCTGGTGAGTATTTGGTATTTGATTGCATAAAAATAAGCTAAATAAGTTGAACGAATATGTGACTAGTGTGGCTTATTAATTCCTGCATCAATGGCAGCAAGCTACCATGCAAAGTGCTGGCCAAAGTACACTTCAGTGTTCAAGAGGATCGAACCATCAACCAGATACTGGCTACTTCAATTTACAATTGCAATAAATAGCATGAATAAAAACTCATCAGATGTAAGAAAGTATTGGCATATGTCCCTGTTGATACTGGTGTACATTTTAAACTAGCGTATGTTTTGTCTAAGGATGACAATGATTCCACAGACATAAGGCAACTTGTATGATACACAGTGTGAAAACACAGTGTGAAAACATTGGAATACATATGGAAGATGATCAGGGCCACATGAAAAATGTATTTGAGTTCTGAGTTTCAAAAAAAAAAAAAGATAAAACTGACTTTTTTACAAGAAAAATGTGCTTCAAATATCAAAATTAAAAGTACTCAATGCATACTTAACTGTTGTAGTTGCTTGAGGTGGACTGAAGTACGTAAGTAGTATCAAATGAAAAAAGCCAACCAGGTACAATACTATACTCTGGAGGTACTTGTAATACAAGTACTTGTAATATAAGTACCTCCAAATTGTATACAGTACTTGAGTAATATAAGTAAATTACATTTAGTTACATTCCACCATTGTAAGTGTTGTTACGACCTCAGATGTAAGATCCAGGGAAAAAGAGGAGCAACAATTAATACTGAACGCAGGGTTAAAGAAAGACAAGAAAACAGAATTAGTTGTACTAACAAAACTATTTATTAAACATTTTAATCATAAATGAAGAGTTAAAGGTTTTTAACAAAAAAATACTTCCTTAAAAAAAAGAAAGTGGAAATAACTATTTTAACAAAAAACGTGAATTAAACAAACCAAACACTAATTCAACACTAATTCAACACCAATGTCACTCTCCCTCCACTGAGGGAGCAATGAAAGTAGCACACATGCGCACACACACAATCGGCGTACAGCAGCATACAGCTATCTGGCTGTTTGGCCCACTGGCCCTGCTGCTTCTGCTGTCTTTGTTTTAAAGCTGTTGGAATGATTGCTAAACTACTGCAGGTGCACCTGACCAGTCGGTACCTGGAACAGGACAGAACAGAGCAGAGGCAAAACACACTATACTCGTAACAGTGTGAATGTAATGTATTGGCATTTGTTGATACCCTGCAGCACTGATTGGATACCCTATAGGCTTTTCTTGATAAGTGGGCTAGTAGACTAAGAGTCGTTTGCTACTGTATCTACTAACAAAACGTGTTCTCTCTAACTATTTTTATCTTTTTTTAGGAAAATATAGTTTACAGTCCATAGTTTATAGGATTTAAGTCTCTCTGCAAAGTTTATGTCTAAAAGGCCTACTATTTGGAATCAATAGGCCTATAATACATGAATTTAGAATTTACTAGTTTGTTTTTAATAAATGAATAGTTTATTTAACCACCAAATCACATGGAATTGACTAGAGTCAAAAGATAATTCGACAGCCACTGAGATCTGCTAAGCTATATACTGTTAGCAGTAGCTCTTATCCTAACTAATCCTAAAACGAATTATTATGAATGAATGACCAAAATGTCAGCTCATTAAAACTGATATGTTTTATTGACAGGTAACGGCAAGGGCAAAGTCAATAACTAAACCTAGCTGTAGTTTTAGCTAAGGCTAGCCACATCCACTACCTGTGGAACATATACTTCATATCATATGTGTTAATATATACCATGTTGATATTATATGTCATATTTATACAATATATTATTATTATATTATTATATTACAATATATAATATATTATTTATCGTATGTATATCTTTCTTGTATAGTCAAGTATCTATTATACATATGCTATATATCATATCATATATGTGTGTAGATATTATATTATTATTATTATACATATTATTATTATATACTGTTATTAACAATAACACTACCCTTCATGTCATCAGTACTATTACCACCATCTTGCAATTACAACTTCTTTGCACCTTATCTATCTATTCTAAGTATTTTATTCTATTGTTGTTTTTTATTCTATTGTATTTTATTGTATTTTAATGTACCTGGCTGCTATCTATCTATCTATCTATCTATCTATCTATCTATCTATCTATCTATCTATCTATCTATCTATCTATCTATCTATCTATCTATCTATCTATCTATCTATCTATCTATCTATCTATCTATCTATCTATCTCACAAGCTAGCTTCCACTTGATATAGCCCTAACTATCTAGTTAGCTGTCTTTCTATGGCAGAGAGTGCAGAGACAGCACACAGATTAGGTGTAGTACTCTATAGTATTCTACATTACAGATGTAGAATAATCAAATTATTATTCAGTTCTGTATGAAGTGTTAACTCTTATTGAACAGTGTATGAAAAGCCAAGGCCAGTTCATGAAAGCTTTTAGATTACAAAATTCTCTCCTGCAAAGCCATTTTTGTTTGAAAACAGAAAGCTTTCATCATCTTACATAGATCGGACAGATTAGATGCAGAAACCTGAGTAAATAAGAGGGGAACTGCAATAAATACAGGAAAAAGGGCTCACTGAATGGTTTGAGTATGAGAACTATGTGAAACAGATGCGGTGGCCTTCACAGTCACAGGATCTCAATATAACTAAACACCTGTGGGACATTTTGGAGCGATGTGTCAGCCAGAGCTCTCCACCACCGCCATCAACAACAAGTGAGGGGACGTCTTTGAAACAATGCTGTTCATTCCTTCATTAGAGTTCAGTTTCAAAATGATCCTTACACATCTGTGCTAATGCATCAGTTTTACAACAACATATATACTAAATATGTGTGATTGTATTATTATTAGTATACATAATCAAAAGTACGTCAAAACTATAATCTTGAACTATATTGGATTCTACTGAAGCCCCAAATTCTCTCTCGAATACCCCTGAAGTCTGGCCTTTTGACTTTGTCAAACTCACTTAAGTAGATATTAAGCAAAATGAAAACTTTTTTTTTCTCAGGCTTATGATCTCTGCCCCCTTTGCCCAAATCTGTGTGTTTTTGCTCCAGGACCCGGCAAACATGGCAGGCAGCATCAATATCAAATACAGGTGCCCTTCCAGTGGAAAAAACATCATTTAAGGCCCTTCCACTGGAGAAAATGTGATGAAATGCTGTCTAGGGTGGCCTTTGAGTGGATAACTATGATGAAGTACTCTCTAGGGTGCCTTTCTAAATGAGAATGATGAAGTTCCCTTCCAAGGTGCCCTTCAGTGGATAAAATGTGATAGCTTGACCTCCAGGCTGTCCTTTCCAGTGGAGAAAATGTGATGAAATGCCCTCTAAGATGCCAATCGAGTGGACAAATAAGATGAAGTACCGTCTAGGCTGCCCTTCCAGTGGAGAGAAATGCAATGTGGTTGAATACTTCTATTAACAACACAGCCTGTGTGACACTGATGTACACAGATATGTAGTAATGCTACATGAAGCACCTTTCTCAGCAGTACCTGTTACCACTTGTCTGTCAAAACCCCCTCCACAACGCACAGGCTGTGTGCTGTCATGGCAAGCTGGCGTCCACGCCACGCTGTGCCGACCGATGCGTCTCATTTCTAGGCTGCGGTGTGAACTTGTGATATGAGAGGAGAGGTAACTGAGCACAGGAACCTCAGCACGTCATAGCCCCCCTAGACACTGTCAGCCATTAGGGAGGCAACTCAGCGAGAAATTGAATTTTGTGTCGTTATCTGGCGGATGCAAAGCGGCTGGTATAGAGTCTGTTAAAGACAGAAAGAAGACAAACAGTGAAGAGAGAGAAGGTGGAAGATAGAGGGAGAGAAGTGCACAAGAAGCTGGAGATAAAGTGTAGACGTGTGTGTTACAGATAGACAAAAACACAAGCAAGGGATAGAAGAGGAAAATGTGGAGCTCAGCCTCATTGGCATGATGGGAAGTGTGTGGCAGATTAGCATGGAGTCTAACTTCAGTTAATTATGTGCATACTGTTAATTCTGCGTGGCTGGCTGTGTTGCCATGTCTCCCGGTGCCACGGAGTGTGTGTGTGTGTGTGTGTGTATGTGTGTGTGTGTGTCTCATAATGAAAGTGATGGCTGGACCTTTGACTCCTTAGCAACGCTTTAAATGAACCGCTAAAGTCCCGCATCAGCATTTGGTGAGAGCAAAGAGAATGTATGTGTGTGTGTGTGTGTGTGTGTGTGTGTGTGTGTGTGTGTCTGTGGACAGACACGTGCACAGGGACTTGATGCATTAACCTAAAATAGAATGCGAGTTGTCCCAGGAAGGTTGTCCTCTAATTGACTGGAATCTGTGTGAGCAGCACTTTTTAAACACCTTTTGTTGTCCATTTTGCGGTGATTAAACAGGCATTGATTTTAATTGGCTGATCTTAGTAGAACCTGCTTTACTCAGCAGAGAAGAAGAAGAGGAAGAGGCAGAAGACAGAAAGAAGAAGCTAGGGGCTGGCAGTTGCTCATTTTATTACAAGAGCACTGAGCTTACATTCTTGATTAATGGGTGCAAATTCTGAAATAAAAGCTGTAATTAGATAATGTTCAGGTTTGAAATAATAGCTGTGTGTTGCTGAAGCACAGTTAATGAAAGGCAGCACTTACTGTAGTGGTTACACAATAAAAGCCCTCCGGTTTAACAACAAGATTGTGCCATCGCTTCCCCCTCACCTTCCAAGCACGAAGAAGAACCTATGGTGGCCATAAAATGCTAGTGTTTGCTTTGTCCTTTCTGGGCTACTGTAGGAACATCATGGTTCAATATGGTGGCCTTCATTGAAGGCGACAAAGTTGACTGTGCCCATTCTAGACGGTGCTCAAGATTTCACCAGAGTGGTGTCAAGCGTCAGGCAGGCAGGCTGAAACACTCTCGGTGGGATTTGAAGACGTGCAGATCACGGAGCCAAATCAGGTCGCAGTCGCAACGACATAAAGCTGGGGTAAAGCTGAGGTCAGAAAAAGAAAAAACTGTCTGGAGACAATGGTAAAAAGTCACTCATTTCCATATAGTTTTTTGTCAAAGCTGCAGGGAGCCTCTGGAAAGCATGAGTATAAGGAAATGTAAAAAAATATCGTACTTTGTGATATTGTTTTGTATATATGTATTTGTGGTGTGTTTTAAACTGAAGGATATGATGTTGGATGTTACAGCAAATGTGATTAATACAAATGCACAACAAGTGTTCTGGTTGCATAAACATTTTTTTTTTAAAGTCTCTCTTTTATTCATGGTGTTGTTTTTTTTATACTATGAAAGTTTTACTAAAAATTGGTATTTTTATTTTTAAATTTTTTAAAATTAAATCGCCATATCACAATATATTGATGCGTAACGCCTGCATTGTGATACATATCGTATCGCCAGATTCTTGCCAATACACAGCCCTAATGGAGAGAGGCTAACACCCAAATTCCACCAGACCCAGCTGCGACGCGTTCCTGCTCCGCTGGGGTGGGGCTGAGCTGATCGCACCTCTTCTATGCTCTAAATTCCACCAGAAGCGCTCCGTTCTGCTGTGCATGGTCTATTTTTGACAGAGCCCACAAGCAACTCATGTCAAGCAGCCCAGAGCAGATCACACTAGCAAGAAGTCAGACACAGGAACAGCATAGAGAATCTGGTCAGTTTAAAAAAAAAGTGCAGACTCCAGATTGAATTTCACACTAGATCAACATTGTGGCACCAAAGGAAGTCAATCGGTCAGAGGCAGGTTAGAGAACATTTTAAGTGGAGAAACACACTGTTTTGCTTCCTTATTAAGGACACAATACATGAATAAAAACTAAAACTAAAAAACTAAAACACTCTCAGTAGGGTTTAAAGACGCTAAACCACAAGGCAGACATGACATCATAAAGCCACACCCGGTGGAATTTCTGGGTAAAAAGCCACATGTGGCTCCGGAGCTGCAATCGCCTACCCCCATTATAAGGTAACAAAAACATAACCATTCATATATTCAGGTGAAGTTTAACATTCGAACAACAAGAGATTTACAAGAGAGTGGCTGGTACTCTTTGTTTAATGTCTGAGTTACAGTCGGTTACACAACCTGTTTGTCCTTGACAATGTCCTCTTTGTTCCGAACAGGGTTGACTAAATTAGACAAAAGCAATGAGCTGAAAACTGTGAAGAGATCCAGACTGGAGCTGATTCTCAGTGGGATCAGCAGTACTACCAACCCTGTCAATTTGATTCAGTGTAACATACAGATATTCTGCAGTGAAGCTTTAATTTAATCTCTGCTTTAATATTTTGATCTATGCATGTGTTCCAGGCTAATAATCCCAAATAAATGTATATGCTCTCATTCTATGGCTCTTGAAAATGTGCATAAAGACAGATAGGGCTAATGCCGTGAATGGTGTCACCATTTCATTATAAAGGAGATTGGGGTGGGTGAGATATCAGGGCTGTTAAAATGCCACTTTGATGGGTGCGAAATAAGCACTGAACCGTGACCACTATCACCAGAGTGGGAACAGGGTGAAGCACTTTTTCAATGATTTAGCAAAGTCAACTGAGCCTAGTCTTCCTTTTGATTTTAAACCAGCAAAACCTCCAGGCTGTCATGGGCATTTATGGCCCGGGGAAACCATATGTGATAAAAGACGGCTCAAATAACTGTTCACTC